CCGCATCCCCCCCCAACCGGGATGGGGTTGGTGGAGGAAAAAGCGAGGAGGGGAGAGGGACAGAGTTTCCCGACGAAGTCCAAGCAGGCGCCCTGCTGCGGTGATCCCTTCCCCGTGCACTTCGCAGCCCCCTCCCCGAGCACCACCGTGCCCCAGCCCTACCTTGTGCAGCAGGGCCTCGTTGTAACCGGCCCCCCCCGAGCCGGCGGTGCGGGCCTCCATAGCCGGGGTGCATGGAACGGCTCCGGCCGCGGGCCGCTCCTGCAGCACCGCGGACAGCGCCCGCCCCGCCTTCAGCACCGCGGACAGCGCTCGGCTCCGCCCGGCTCGGTCTGGCACGGCCCGGTTCAGCTGCGCAGGGGCCGAGGGTCGGCACGGCCCGGCCCGGTTGGGCACAGCAGGGCTGGGTTCGACCCCGTTCAGTTCAGCGCAGCACGGCTCGGCTCGGCCCCCCTCAGGACAGTGGAGCGGTGCCCGGTTCCTGCCGCTGCAGAAGAGGGAGCGGGGGGGGGGAATGGTGAGGCCGGTCCCGCCCGGGGGCGGGGAGGCCGTGGAGCTCCCCTCCACGCAGGCAGTTTCCACCCTGGTCTCTCTGCACTCCACCATCTCCATGCGCTGTGATAAAGGTGCCCCTGGCTCTGCAAGGAGCCCGGTACCGGGGCTCCTCTGCTGACACCCCTACAGCCATCATCAGCTCATGCTGCCGTTGGGCATCCAGGGGCAGTGGCAAAGCACAGACCTGTGAGATCACTAGGGTTAGCAATGTCACCCCAACCAGGGACAGCGGCTTGTGTTTCTTCATGAAACTGGTACTAGCCCGAGACTGCTACCCCAGCAGCTCCCCTTTGGAAATTTACATTTACAGAGCTCAGTTAGGAGCCTTCTTGCAGAAAAAGAACCCCAAATTGTATTTAGAAACGGGAGGAAACTGTGCCTAAACCTGGAGGTGACAGTCAAGATCTTATTGAGAGCCTTTATTTACAACTCCCTCTAGAGCAATCTGGTGTTGTCGATTAAACTCAGAAGAAATTACTGAGGAGTTTATTTAAGAGACTCGATTCAATCTCCAGCTCCCTCCCTCCAGATCAGCAGACGGCTCCAAGGCAGAGGAACAGACTATGCTTCCGAGAGCCATCTGCACCCATCCGATTGCTGTTTGACTGGGTCTGACATGGCTAATTATATCTGCCCTTTGTTTCCTCTGACGGAAGAGATGGTTCTTTCAGGTCAGATGATCAGTCTGGGCAACAACAGCCAGCAAAGATGAAAAACAGCCTAGAGGGATAAGGGGGTTTCAGGCTTGCCCGTGGCCAAGAAGCTAAACTCAGGCAAGCCTGCAGCCAGACTACCCGGTGGTTCAAGCACTGAAAGATAATCAACAGCACAAAAATGAGCAATACTGGGAGCCACTGGTGTCTGGATGGGATGATTTACAAGTAGCCCAGCCAGCACTGTGGTTCAGCATAGTGAATGTACTCCACCAAATAGGGCCAGGAAGACAAGAGAAACAAACCTTGGGGACAGAGAGCCAGGGCAGCTTTCTGCCCTGTTAAGTACACCAGGCATTTGTCAGAACCGCCATAGGCTTCCCAGTGCTGTAATGCCCCATTGACAGTGGGGACTTCGTGTTAATGTGTCTCAAGCACACTCTTAGCCTTCTCCTACCCCAAAGCTTGCACAAAGCAGGGTATGGCCCTGACCTGAGCTGCCTGCTAGGTCACATGTACCAGAGACCCAGATTTGCTGCAGGCACTGTGTGACTGCCCTGGGGACCCAAGCTGTGCTGGTGCTCAAACCTCTTCTGGAGGGGGGGGATGAATTTAACAGCAGTGAAGAGGACAGGAAGCCCCCAGGGCACCATAGGTCTGAGATTTCAGTTCTGCTTATCTCTAGAGGGGGATTCCCAGCACATACCTGATGCAGAAGAGGTCCTAGGGCTTGAAGAGCATCCTCTGACCCATCTCAGCTCCAGCAATACTTGTATCCCTTTTGAGTCCTGCAGGAGGACAGCAAGGAACTGGGCAAGAAGAGCCTCATAAAGCCTAGTTCTCCCTTCCTCCTGCAGTCCCTAGCATTACAGCAGACCCATTTAGTCCCGCATGTTTAACCGCACTCAGGAGGAAGGCACTTTTCCTATCTGCCATGATATCGTCAAGTGCAATGCAGCCTGCAGAAACAGCGCAGATTGCTGGTAAAAGACAGGCACCAGCACAACCTGGCTGTCCTGGGTTCAGCAGTAGCAGTCATGTTTTTTCCTTTGTGTTAACTGGTGCAGTGCTGTGTTTTGACTTCTAGTTTTGAGAACAGCGTTGGTGAAGCCGATGTTTTCGGTTGTTGCTAAGTGATGTTTACCCTGACCAAGGACTTTGTGAGGCTCATGCTCTGCCAGGGAGGAGGGGAAGCTGTGAGGAAGCAGAGACGGGGCGCCTGACCCGGGCTAGCCGGGGAGGTATTCCATACCACAGCACGTCATGCCCGGGGTGGGGGGTAACTGGGAGTTGCCCGGAAGGACAGGGGTTTCCGGGTGGAACTCGTTTTCTTGGCCGGTGGTATCGTATTCTCTTCCCTTGTTATTTTCCCTTATCATTGTTTTAGCTGATAGTAGCGGTGGTGATTTGTTGCTGGACTGTTCTTGTCTCAACCCGTAGGAGTTGCACTCTCTCGATCCTCCTCCCCGTTCCTCCGGGAGCGGGGAAGGGGAGAGCCCCGGTGCAGGGAGGGGGGGGAGACGAACACGGACCTTGATTGTTGTCAGCTTGGCACCACTCACTGGGAGTGAGTGAACAAGTTACCTGACTGGGTTTAAACCACGACACTGGCGCAGCTCCAAGGGCTTTATGGCTCTGAGGGGCCTGACCCATGGCAGATGAGTGCTACCAGCAAAGCCCAGCAGCCAATACACATCATTCTCCTCCCCTCACACACCAGTAAAATGCCCTTCCCCACCATCCAAACGCAAAACACTCTCCGAGTCCTTCCCAGACCCCAGTAGAGGTTTCTGGGAGCCAGCGAGCGGCTTATAGCCCCGAGCAAGCGCTAAGCAGCTGAAATCAGTGCAGAGCAGCGAAACGAAAGGAAATGACCTGCAAACGGCAGGAGTGATTTCAAATGAACACGTAAATTAGCTCCATTGTTCGGTCATTTGCCGGCAGATTGTATCTCTGATAGCTTGACTCCTTGTTTGTTTGCCTCATGAAGTACAGCTGTAACAGCGGAAGATTTAAATCCAGCTCAGGAGTTGCTGCTTTACTGTCTCCTCACTCCTGCTCCTTCTACCAACCCATTAACCTGCGGTAGTGTCTCTCTGGACTGCCCATACTACACTCTTTGGAGGAGATCTGAGCCCTACCGAAGTCATTCCTTCCCCACGAGCTGGGGAGAATTTAATCCTCTGGATCTGCTGGATTTCGCTTCAGTTCCGCTGCAATAACTAACCCCTGTCTCAGCCCTTTCTGCGCTAGGAATCCAGCCGAAGGCACAGCCGGGACTAAACCCTCCACCACCGCCACAGTCTCCAAGTGTTTCTCTCTTTTAGTAGCTTTGATAAATCAGGGGATCTAGGAATGATCTGGGTTTATCCTGGTTATCTGAGATGGCAGCGGAAGGGAGAGATCAGACAGCTCCTGCTCAATCAGCCAGCACCACAGGAGCTGCATTAGCGACCATTATATTCAGCCTTATCTCAGGACCATTTCACCAAAGTTGCCGAATCTGCCCCTGAAAGAGGGTCTGAAACACCTGGATTAAATAACAGAGCCGGGCATTGTAAATGTCATTGAAGGCCACGGCAGAGGAGGACTTTGGAGAGGCTCAGCTGTGGTGATGGGATAGGAGCAGGGGAAGATCTTGCACTCACTGATTGATTCAATTACCGCCTGTTTGCTTCGGGTTCAGATGAATCCAATAAATTCCTCTGCAGGGGGTAATCTAATGAACTGCCGTATTGTTGCTATTCCCTTTGTAGGGGGACTCTGGGGCATCCCGTACTGTCGGGGCTATGTCAGGAGGGGGCAATAGGACACTCAAAGGAAGGAACATGAGAGCGGCTGGGGAGCAGCTGAAGCCCGGCCTTTCCATGAAGGTTCATCACCAGAAATCAAGTTTCAGCCTCCAACCACTTCTTGATTTTAGCACTTGTTGCTTCCTGCAGCGACTCAGCCCAGTTGGTTTTCTAGGAGTGGAGGAGTTAGTTCATAGTCAGCAGGAAACCTCAGAGCTTCCTCTTGGCATGGCGGAGCACAGGGAGTGAAGGGGATGGTGGGGAAGAAGCTGCTTGGTCTCTGGCAGGGCTGGGGAGTTGTGCCCTCTGCCCTTTCCAAGGAGCATAGAGGAAGAAAGCCCTCGGCAAGACTTTGTCACCCAAAACCCACAGCTGTGCCCCAAAAAAGGCAATTCTTGGGGGAGAAATGAGATGTTTCTGCTTGAGAAACAAACAAAACCACCCCAGCTTGCATTGGCGGCCAGCTCTGGTGCTGAGGAGCAGCGGGGAGGGCTGAACATCATTTCAGTCCATCATCCCTTCCCGTCATTCCAGTCCACCACGACTGGGAGAGCATCCCAACTGGTCCATCTGCATGGGCTGACTTGCACTTGCTCTGTCCTGGTTCCTGGACCCTGCTTTGGCCTGGACTCCCTGCAAAGACCCCTGAAGCTGTTTGGGCTCTGTGCATGGAGAAGGGGCTGCTTTCACCACAGGGACGCGCATCATCTAGGAGGAACCTGCTGTATTTTGGGAGTTTTGCTGGGACCCAGCCCTGTTTCATAGGAAAACCAGAGATTCTTTCTCATGAGACACTCCCAGGGTGAGTCATGGTCCCCGGGTGAAGATGAGGAAGCAACCGCCTTTAAACAAGGGTCTGCTCTGCTGGTAAACATTGCCCATGGAAGCAACGGGAGAAGGAGGCTTGGGAAACTCGTGGGATGTGAATGGGCTCCATCCCACAGGGTGCTTTGTGAACAGCCACAGGGGAAAACCTGCATCAGGAGCAAGAGGGTGGAAAATGTGGATTTTCCTGCTTTGGATCCTTTTCCCAGGTGAGATGTGGGAGCACAGGTCAGGTGTTTCCTATCCCATGGAGAGGCTGGGACTGAGCCAGCCCGGGAAGCCCATCATGGACACAGCAAGAGCTCAGTTGATACTGTCCTTGTAGCTAATGGATGGCTACAGGAGATGATCTTTGAGATATGCTGTTGGATAAGCCCTGGTAATAAGGCTTTTCGTCTAATAACACACACATCTGATGGGGGCTCTTTAATGACCGGGGACATCTCATCTCACCATTGCATAGTGGGCACATGGATACAGCATTCCTTGGGATGGCATATCCCAGAGCTCAGATCCCTCCTGATCCTCTGAGACAATGCCCGTAAGGGCTCCCATCTTCTCTTCTTGTCCCCTGTAGGTGGCTGGGCAGTGACAGGTCCTACACAGGTGATGGTGAACCAGGGCAGCTCAGTGGCAGTGTCCTGCAGCTATGAGCCAGGCTATGAGCTCTACTCCAAGTTCTGGTGCCAGAGGGGCTTCCTCGGTCTTTGCACCTGCGTCATCCAAACCAATGGCTCGGAGGTGACAGTGACACAGGACAGGGTGTCCATCAAGGATAACCATGCATCACACTCGTTCACGGTGACTCTGGACCATGTCACGCTGGAGGATGCAGGCTGGTACTCCTGCGGGGTGAAAAGGAAGATCTTCAGCCTGAAGCACAGCACCAAGGTGATCGTCTCCAAAGGTAAAGCCAGCCTAGGAGCTAAGCAGGGGTGTGTGATGGAGCCCATCACCTGGGAGAGGGGATCCCAGCGGGGGGTCATGGGGGTTGTCAAAGTGGGAGCAAGCACCTTGCAGGCACTGAGATGTGCTGGAGGCTGCCCCAGTGCAGGTTTGGATGAGGGATGGAGGAGGCTGCACAGAGCAGAGCCTCTCCCTTGCTCCCTTCAGCGTCTCTGCTTCCATGAGCCCCTTGGGCTTTCCAGTCCCTCCCAGTAACCCCCCTCCTTTCTCCTCCTCCTCCTCCTCAGTGCCCAGTGCATTGCCTGGAGACCCCCATCTCCCCCTCCTGCAGCTCTATGGCTGCAGTCTCAGGGCAGAGGCCCTGGGGTGCAGGAGGGGTCTCTGCTTTGCTCTCTCTTTTGTTTCACATCTGTTTCATCCACAGCCAAAGGCAGTGATGTGAGCCCGCTGGTCACCACGGCCTTTGGGGACCCTCCAGTGCTGTAAGTCAAGCTTCAAGCCCCAGTAGCATCCCCTGCCCTAAGACACCTCTTTCCCTCAGCCCTGGATCAGTTGCAGCAGCTCAAAGGAGCATCCCAGGGGATGCAGGGCAGACATGCAAGTGTCCCAGTCCCCATCCCCATTGCCCAGACTCAAGCTCCAGCACCATCTCCTTTCTCTTACCCAGGTCCCAGCTCAGCATCACCTACCTGCTGCTCATCCTCTGCATAAAGGTGCCCATGGTGCTGCTCCTGGTGTGTGTGGCTGTCTGGGGAAGGAGCCAATGCAGGAGCCGTGGCCAGGAGATCCTGCAGCTCCGAGGCAGCTGGTACCAGGGCACCGGGATGCCCAAAACCACCACAGAGGCACCCTCCTGCCCCTTTACCCACCACTGTGCTGGGGTTGTGCTGCCCATCACTACCACCCTGCACCAGGATGTGCTCGGCTCCATGGACTTCTCCCCCTGTGAAGCTTTGGCCCCTCCTGGCAGTCCCTGAACTGGAAAGAGGAAGGTTTGGGGCATGAAGAGCCTGAGTCTGCTGTGTTGGAGCGGGCAATAAAGGTCTGCAATGAAGCCTGGGTGTCCTGCAGGTACCTGTCTGTCTGTGTGCCTGTCAGCACTGCCCGGGGTGCTGGTGGATGCTGATGGTGCTCACATTGAGCTCCTTTTCTCATCGCTCCCATTGTTTTCCAGGTTCTGTGCCTCCAAAAAGCAGGCACTTGAATAGTGCTGAAATCCCACAGAAACCCTGCTCCTCTCATGTTCTCGTGTCCCATGGGGTGGCTGACATCCACAGCCACATCAGGGAGAGCAGTGTGGCCACCTCCATCCTCCTCAGGGTTAGGCCATGTCCCACTTTTCATGGCACAACCGGCTTTGCCAACATCCCTCCATGAAGCTTTAGGGAAGAGTTGCTTCTCTTCAGCTGTTTGGGGAACCAAAATGAGGAGCAAGGAGCAGGCATGGACCAGGAGCTCACCGCCTGATTCAACCTCATATGGTAAAACCTCCACTGCAGACTCAGCCAAACTGATGGGAGGGAATTGAGTTTGGGGTCCCTGCATCCACTCTTCCTGCTGGGACCACAGGGGCCAGGGCTGAGCTTCCACCCACTGCGGTCCCTCCTTGTTTATTGTCTGCTCCTGGTGGGTTTGAAGGGTGAAACCCCCATCCAGGGCACTGTCAAATGGGGACAGCGGGGACAGTCCTGCCCTAGAGCCACCACGTGTGTGGAGGGGACGGAGGTGGCAGCTCCAAGGCAGAGCCATGGGGAACCACAGCGCTTATTCCCTGATGGGGAGCAACTGCTCAGGGACCCCTGACAGCCCAGAGCCAGCCTGGGTGATGTTCAGGGCAGGGAGCCATTATTAGAGGCCAGGCATGAGGCAGGGACAGGGGCAGCTCAGTTGTGTCTCCACCAAGGAACATGCTTGGCTCTGCTAAACTGGAACCAACTGTTGCTGGTAAAGATGTCTCATTGCTTGTGCTAAGGCCAGAGCTGCGATGGTACCAGCAGTGGGTAAAAGCCAGTGGCTGTAGGAGACAGATCCTGTGACACCCAGCATGGGTCTGGTTTCTGGCTGTGGGCTCTGTCTGTCCTTCCTGCCTTTGCCTGTCCCCAACCTCACCTCTAGGATCTTCTTCCAAAGGGTTTGCCCAATGCAGCACACAACCAACAAGTCACATATGGGTGGAAGGGAAGACACTGGGGTGGACTGGTTCTTTCAGGGGATAAGGGATGGAGGCACAGGGGGACTACTGGGAGACCTGGCTTGGGAATAGGGCTACCAAGCCATGGAGGATCTGTGCTGGGGATGACAGCGTAGGGTGATGCTCTGGCCAGGGCAGTGGGGATGGGTGTCCATGTCAGGGACAGGAGGCCCATGCAGCACTGCCCCCAGGCTGGCGGCATGTTTGGGGCTCATGGGGTCCCTATGAAGCACTGAGCCACCCCTTGAGGTAGATCCCACACTGGGGGCCCTGCCTTGTCAGAGAGGATGGGGAGAGGCAGGACTGCACCTCATTGTGGGGGCCATGGTGATGGCTAAAAGGGGAGCCCCTGGGGCAGGGGAAGGAAGGCGGACAGGAGCAGGGACAGTGCATGGCAGAGCTCTGGGTGACAGCAGGGCAGGAAGTCAGCTGAGAGCAGTGGATAAAAGAAAGCCCACGCTCCAGCTAAGAGCTTGTGGTACCCCCTGTAGAAGAGGAAGCAAAGCTCCAGAGACACAAGGAGGAAGGAGCAGGAAAGGCAGGGCTGCCCTGATGCACTGCCCAGGCCAGCCTGCCATGCGGCTCCTGCTGCTGCCTGCCTGCATGGTGCTGCCAGGTAGGGCTGAGGGAGTCCTTGGGGCTCAAGCCCACACTTGGAGCCGCCCGATGGGGCAGGAGGTGTCTGTGTAGCCGCAGCATTCCCGGGCTCTGTGTGTCTCCGCAGGCTGCTGGGCGGTGATGGGGCCCGGCGCCGTGCAGGGGTTCGTGGGGGGGTCCCTCTCGGTGACCTGCGCATACGAGCCCGGCTATGAGGAGATGCCGAAGTTCTGGTGCTATCAGGGAAGCGTTTTCACCTGCGGTACTGACATCGTTCTCACCTCGGAGCTGAGCCCCGTGGTGCGGCGAGGCCGGGTCACCATCGAGGACTATCAAAGAAGACGGGTGTTCACGGTGACCGTTAAAGACCTGGTTGCGGAGGACGCCGGCTCCTACCGCTGCGGCGTGCGAACGGGCAAACTCAAGCGCGATAAGAGCGCTGATGTGCGGGTGATCGTGTCCCCAGGTGAGTCCCTGCACATCCCTCTCCCCAGCACCAGTGACCGTCACGTCTGGGGGCCGGGGCTGGGCTGCGGGAGGAGGTGGGATGCTGCGGGTGGAGGGATGGAGAGGGACAAGGGCTGGTCAGAGCCCGGCAGCACCCGCTGCATCTGTTCCCTCTTCGAATCTGCAGCCCCGTGGCTCGGACCGAAACCAACAGTTCCGCCGAACGCCCCCCGGCCTCCCGCGGCAGGAACGGACCCTCCACCGGGGAACCCCGGCCCCTTCCGCTACTTCCCGGTGCTGGCCGGGCTGCAAGTGCTGGCGCTGCTCGCCATGAGCGGAGCCGTGCTCTGGGTCAGCCTGCGCTGCGCATGAACCGCAGCCAGGACCGCTCCGCCCCGGCCCCGACGGCGCGGGCAGGGGGCAGCGCCGGGACCCCGCCGGTCCCTTCCTGCCGCCGCCGGCGGCTGCAATAAAGCTTCTCCGACCTCGCTCCGCGCCTCCGCCTCTTCTCTGCGGCGCCTCCCGTGGTCAGGCAGCCCCGGGGGTCCCTGCGCTCCGCCCCGACAGGGTGGCCCCGGGGGCGGGCCGGGCCCAACGGAGAGGAACCGGGTGCTGCCGGACGCCGAGCGCCGCCGTCCCGGAGCGGCCATGCGGCTGCTGCCTCTTCTCGCCTGGGCGCTGCTGCCAGGTAAGGCCGGGCCGGACCCCCTGCGCCCCGCAGCAGCCCCGTCGGGCCGGGCGGAGAGCGGCGGGAGCACTCCCGGGCTCTGTGTGTCTCCGCAGGCTGCTGGGCGGTGACGGGGCCCGGCACTGTGCGGGGGTTCGTGGGGGGGTCCCTCTCGGTGACCTGCGCGTACGAGCCCGGCTATGAGGAGATGCCGAAGTTCTGGTGCTATCAGGGAAGCGTTTTCACCTGCGGTACTGACATCGTTCTCACCTCGGAGCTGAGCCCCGTGGTGCGGCGAGGCCGGGTCACCATCGAGGACTATCAAAGAAGACGGGTGTTCACGGTGACCATTAAAGACCTGGTTGCGGAGGACTCCGGCTCCTACCGCTGTGGGGTGCGAACGGGAAAACTCAAGCGGGATAAGAGCGCTGATGTGCGGGTGATCGTGTCCCCAGGTGAGTCCCCAGTATTGCTTTGTCCCACTCCGTGTGCTGGGATCGGAGGCTGCAGTGGGGGGGCAGCCAGGAGCAGGGGGTGCCCGCATTGCCTGGGGCAGCCCCAGCCTGTGTCACCCGGTCTCGGCAGGCTGCTGCTGTGGCAGATGCCACCTCCACTGGTTCTCTATGCCCAGGTCTTGGCATGGCCTCGTCTCGGCACCCCAGGGTCAGCCACCCCCAACACTGGGGTGCTCCAGACCTTCAGATCCTGCTGGCCCTGTCTGTGCTCTACTTGCCTTACTTTATAACACTAAGAGATCTCCTCACCCCCTTGTGTCCCCTCATTACCCACTGTGGGGCAGCCGGTGCCTGTGCACTCTAAGCTTAGGGAATGTCGCTCTCTGTCCCCTTGCCAAGGGTGTTATAGCACCGGGAATGGGGTGCCCAGGCCCCCTTCCTGCAGGGTGGGCTCTGTTGCATGCGTGTTTGGGGTGGGGGGGATTGAGACCATGAAAAGCCTCCTGAGCAGGGGATTACAGTCCTCTCACCTGAAGGAGCATGCTCTGGATGTGGCAGAGGGGACCCAGCTTCTCCTCCTGTGACAGTAAGTGGGTCACTTCTGATTAACTGCAAACCCTACATCATTTTTCCGCTGCAGAGGCAGGGCGCCTGACCAGCCCTCTCCTCTTTTTGTTACAGCTCCTTCCTCCTCCTTCCCGGCATCACCCTATGGCTCCACCACTGCGCACCCTGATCTCACCAGCTCTCTATCAGTCTCCACACAGGCAAATCCCCAGGGGGAAGCCCTAAAACCAGGATCAAATCTCTCCCACCACAAAGGCTCCAGCCTTCCACAGTGAGTACCAGCTCCTGCCCACAGCGGCCACCTTCCTCCATGAGGTCTCTGGTGTAGCTGGAGCCCTACAACCTTCCAGGCTCTTCACACCTCCCTTAAGGATGCAGACCCTTTGTGTTTGGGACCAGTGTTCCATCCTCTCACCCAGCCACTCCTCATGGAAAGTAATCCCAGCATCCCTGGTCAGTTGGCCCTGGCAAAGCTCTGCTTGTCCCATGTCCATCTTGCAGCTTAAGCAAGGCGTGGGTTATCACCGTGTGAGAACTGGTTCCTTGCTGCAGCACTGACCCCATTTCCTTCCCCAAACCTCACTGTTTGCTTGTGAGAAACCAAGTGCTGAGCTGGATCCCTTTTGGCTCTGTAGTCATGTGCAGCCCATCAGAGAGAGTTGAGAAAGCGTGAGACCGGAGCTTTGTTCCTCCTTTCCTGCCTCTTGGACGTGATGCCAGCAGCAGGCAAAGCTGAGGCTTCCCATCCACATGCTCAAGGGGCTGCTGGCACACTTCACCTCGCTGTCCATTATAAGTTCAACAAACAGTGGAGCTAAACCAGAGCTAAATCAGGTGCAGGAGCTGATCCTTACAGCAGTGAAGATGCAGCAGCTCTCAGACCCGAGCTCCTGTTTGCTTCTGCATGATCCAGTGTGCTTTGCTCTGTGCCCAGCCTTCAGCTGCCCCCCCAGGCCCCATCACCCTCAGCCTCTCCCTGTGTCTGCCCCACATGGGCTCCTCTCCCATCTGATTCTGAGAAGTATGACAGCAGGAACTCTCTTTTTGTGTTGCAGCTTGGATGTGGTTGAGCACATCCTCACTCCAGGCATCGTCGTGGTTCTTCTTTTGCTCGCAGCTGCTGTTGGTGTTCTGGTAGTACTGACTAGGAAGAGGAAGAAGGGTAAGTGAAGCTGTCACCTCTGCACACACTGTTTCTGCACCAGGGGCTGTCTTCTCATATATTTGTTTTTTTTTTTCCCTCTATATTTCTTTTTTCTCCCCCATTCCCTCCCTGATCCATCCGGTTCCTGGGTCCATCACTGACACCTCCACCAATGTTGTCTCCTTCCCCTGAAGGAGCAGTGGGACCATCCCATGGGTCTCATCCCGGTGGGAGCAGGGAAATGACAGCTCTTGGGATGGGTACTGCTCAGTATGGCACCCACTTGAGTTTGCCTGGGCACTGTCAGCTTGGAGAAGCTCAGTTGCATGCTCAGAGCTTACACTAGTCTTGGTGCAGGGTTTAATGCCAGTGTGATGGATAGGGAGGGATAAGAGGGAATGTCACCAGCTGGCAGGGGGTTATGGTTTTGTTTGGAGAACTCCACTTTGGATGGTTGATGGGGCAATAGATTCTGCTTTATGGTGAATGCCATAGTGAAGGATTTTAATACATTTCATTTCCTCTGGTTTCACTCATATCTGACCACATCCATGCTTCAACAGCCCCCTCCGGAACAGCTGTGGAGATGGACAGGACGGGCAGCGTGTCCCATACAGTAAGACAAACCCCATTGTGCTCAGAGCTCGCTTGGAGAGGGGAAATAGGCTGCCAGAGCCCTTTGCTTTCAGCCTCATTCACGGCCCTATAGGCTGGGAGGGATCCATTGGGCTCCGTTTGCCAACAGAAAGGCTCAAGCATGGGTTCAGTGCAGAGTGTTCCTGTGAAGGGAATTGCGGATTGAGCCGAGGCTGTGGGCACGGAGCAGCAGGAGGGGAAGGGCTCATCCTTGTCCCCGTGTCAGGGAGCAGATGCCTTGAACTACGCCGACATCAACCACGGCGCGAGCACAGCCGAGAGCCGGCTGTACGGCAACACCGAGGCGCTGCGCTGCTCGGCAGGCACCGCGACGGAGTACATGGAGGTCAAGCAGAGGGACAAGGTGGGAGCGTGCAGAGCGGTGCCGAGCTCGGGGTGATGGGTGGAAGCTGGAGCGGATGGGAGACGGTGTGGGCAATGGGATGTGTTGGGTGGGCAGGGAGGGAGCCGCAAAGGGATGCGCCACACTGGTGTGGAAAGGCACTGGATAATGTGGGTGGCCTCTCTGGTCCCCAAGCTGCTCCTGGGTGCTTAAAGCAGCTGAGAGAGGCTCCAGCAGCGGGTGTTGTCCTGGAGCATCCCCGTCACGGATGTGTTTTGGTTCTTCCCTGCTTTCCCAGCATTTGGAAGAGAAGAAAGAGCCCACATATGCCACCGTGCGCAGGTCCCTGCCGGAGCAGCAGGAGATCTATGCCAACGTGCAGTCAGCTCCACAGCCCAGGGGAGAGCCCCAGAGCACAGTGCAGAGGGAGTGAGCCAGCCCCTGGTCCATGGGCTGCTCCTACTGCCTGCAGTGCCAGCGGGACTTGCATGGGATGCACACGGAGGGCAGTGGGCTGGCTTTCTGTTCATGCAGGAGCCGGCTGGACAGCAGAGCTGCTGCTCTTGTGGGCTTGGATGTTTCCTTGGAGCAGCCTCGAGGCGGCTGAGGATGAGCAGGAGGCACAGGGCGGGATGAGGATGGAGTCATCCTTCTGCATTTGGAGACCTCACCCGCACAGCAGTGATGCTGCGAATAAATGGACTGGCCAGGCAGTGGTGGAAGAGCCCAGCAGGCTCTGCCTGGCTCCCTGCATCCAGCACCCATCCTGCTTGCCCCTTTGGCTGTTATTCACAGGCACTGAAGCTCCCAAATCCATTGGTCACCTCAGATTGGCTTTTCTCACGTTGATGGCAGGCAGAGCTGGCAGCAGGAAGCAGGATAGCAAGACGTGCTATATCCAAATGCATTTGTTATATCCAGATACCAGGGGCTTGGGGTAGGGTAGGGTATCGATGCAAAAGATATGGAGAGGAGCTCCTGTTCCTCCTGCACAGCAGCTTGGAAGTGTCTCCCCTGACCCCTGGTCTCACATCCCCATTGAGGTTTGCTCCTGCTCTCTCTGCTCCACCATTCCCAAGGAACTCCAGGCTGGGAGCACACGGATAAGCTGTAACCATGATCCTGCTCTTCTCTGCTTTCTTGATAACTTATTTCATGGCACCCACTCAATACATCTGTTTGTGAGGCTGAGATAAATGTATTTCAGGGGTTCATTTGGAGAGGATCTGTTAACGTCAACTGCTGCAAAGCTTTGGTTCAGTATTGATATAACTATCTTGTTCGAGAAGCCACATGGAGCATCCCTGCTCTGGCAAAGCCAAAGACTGCTGGAAGT